AGAGACCTAACTGAGCTTCTCTGGTCACCTCCCTCTCACGCTCTTGACAATGATTGTTTCCAACTCTCCTTACTCTTTCAACCCTTGATCCCACTGTCCCCTCCCTAACTTGGAGCAGAGTCCTTGTCTTCTACCTCACAGGAAGTATAGAGGCGATTATAAAGGAACTTCCTGCCACAAAAACCATAACCCTAGTTTCACCAGCTCCCCGCCTCACACTTGCCTCTGTTTTTTGTTTTTTAAAAGTCTCCTCTCCTCTTCCCCACAAGTGTTCAGGTTTACCCTTACTCACTTCCTGCTCCAGACACCCCCTTCTCTCTCTCCCTTGTCCTTCAAAGCCAATTGCTCAAGTTTCTTCTACTTGTCAGTTCCGTTTCTTCTTTTTCCACAAATGTATCCATTCAGTCACTCTCCACTGGCTTCTGTCTCCATATTTGCAGAGTCCCCTTTGTCGGGCTCACCTATAACCTGTCACAATTCCAATGCCATTTAAAATCTTTTTTTTCTTCTCTGAATTTTCAGTAGCTTGTCACACTGGCCGCTTCCTCTGGAAAGTTTCTTCCTGTGGCTGTCGCAGTCTCTGCTGTTCACCTACCTTTGACTTTGGGGGTCCTTCCTTGGTCTCCTTTTCTGGGTGTTCAAATGTTGGAGCTTCCTCTTCCCACGTGTGCTCTCCCCGGGGGGCATCTCTAGGCAAAGCACCTGCAAGGCCTCTCTCTTGACCCTGTCCCCTCTCCCCCTTGTTGACTGTCCTCCTGCCACAGCGGTCCCATTAACGCTCCTTAATCCTGCCAGGCAGAAATAGGTTTTTGGAAATTCTTTGGAAAATCTGCGAATTAGCATTCAACATGCTGGCCAGTCATGCTTCCCTCTAAGGTTGTCAGGCCCCCAAGCTTACATTTAAGTCACATAGGGGTGCCTGGGAGGCTCAGCTGGTTGAGAGTCCGACTTCAGCTCAGGTCATGATCTCACGCTTCATGGGTTCGAGCCCCACGTCGGCCCCTGTGCTGACAGCTCAGAACCTGGAGCCTGCTTCTGATTCTGTGTCTCCCTCTCTCTCTGCCCCTCCCCTGCTCTCTCTCTCTCTCTCGCACTCTGTCTCTCTCTCTCTCTCTCTCTCTCTCTCTCACACACACACACACACACACAGTCTCAAAAATAAACATTAAAACTTTTTTTAAAAAAATCACATAAAAACAAAGCATAAGGAGATCAGACAGTGGACTCTTAGACATCCTCTTTAATAGCTTTTGTATTAAGTTTAAATTTGGTAAAAACATTTTCTTGAAACAGAAATGCTTGCCTTTTCTGAATATTCCTAAATATCTCAGTTCCTCAGCTCTTTTCATTATTTTTTAAAGATGTTTTTTATTTATTTTTGAGAAAGAGTGTGCCAGTGGGGGAGGGGCAGAGAGAGGGGGACAGAGGATTCCCAGCAGGCTCTTGGCTCTGTGCTGACGGCAGCCAGCTGGATGTGGGGCTCAAACTCATAAGCCCTGAAATTAAGCCCAAAGTCGTTTAACCCACTGAGCCAGTCAGGTGCCCCTATGTTTTGTTTTTGTTTTTTTAATTTTAATCCCAGGATAGTTAACATACAGTATAGTATATTTGTTTCTGGTGTACAGTATAGTGATTTAACACGTCTGTACACTACTCTGTGCTCATCATGGCAAGTGGACTCTTAACTTTCCAGCACCTATTTCACCCCTCCCCCACCCACCTCCACTCTGCTAACCGTGTTTGTTCTCTCTAGTTAAGAGTCTGTTTTTTGGTTTTTCTTCCCCCCTTTGTTCATTTGTTTCTTAAATTCCATGTATGAGTGAAATTATATGGTATTTGCTAAGTCTTTTCATGACAAGTAGAAAATCAATCAAGAAACTAATACTCTAATATGCTCCTTCAACAATAACCAAAAAACTGATAGAGAGAATTACTTTGGGGTCAAGTTCTAATATTAAGTATGTTATGACTTTACAACAAATACCTACAGAATTTCAGGCAAAAAAGAAAGTTAACAAGCTAAATAAAATCCCGTAACATGGCTTTTGGGAATGTATGGTCCCCTCCCCACCCCTCCCCTCTGTGCTGATCCGTGTGCTCATTATACTTAGACAGTTTTGTGCCATTTCCACCTCCCTTGATTTAATTTCACTTTTGAAGGCAGGTGTGAGCAGTGCAATAAAAAGGAGTCATTTATATCAAGGGGTTTTAAAATGGAGCCGGGAGGCCATTAAGGTGGGCCTTCTGCACACTCCTCACGGGGTGGGACCATGAACTTTTGCACTGGGCTGAACAGCAAATATTGCAGGGACCCCACCTGAATGAACACCCACAGGTTGGGGCGGTAATGAACTTCTGCTTGGCGAGAGCCTAGCAACAATTGTGGTTAGCCAAGACTGTTTTCTACTGTCAACACCAATCAAAATTCTTTGCAAAACATTCTCAGCCCTTCCCTTTTGTCTTTAGTAAACCCTGACTTGTGTTCCCTGGGGGCGAAAATTTGGGTGTCACCCAAATCTGTGCTCCTGGGTTGCAATTCTGAGGCCCAAAATAAATGCTTTTATTTCAAGTTCTGCCTCTTTTCTCAGCTGACATACGTAATACATTGACATGGTCCCAAACAGTCCAAATGATATAGAAGAGTGAACATGTGTGAAATCTCACTTCCATCCTTTCTATGTCCACCATTACATTTTTGTTAGTTGCTTCTTTTTTAAAAAAATCCTTCTGGTGTTTCTTTAGGCAAATGCATATTCTTCTCTCCCTTCTCACACAAAATGCAGCACATTATCTATAGTGTTCTGTGTTTCATCCTTTTCTACTTAATCACAAATGTGGGATATCTTTACCCATCAATTGAGGACCCTCCTCATTCTTTCACAGCAAATCACATTCCATCACGTGGATGTATCACAGTGTATTTCCCATCTTGACACTTAGGTCGCTGCTAATTTTTTTTTTTTTTATGAAAGCAGTGTTGTGATGAATAATCATGCCTATAATTTTGTACATGTACAGATGTGTGGGTAGTTTGAATTTTAAGAAATGGGATTGCTACTTCAAAGAGTAAATAATTTGATGGGTATTGCCGGATTCTCCTCCACAGGGAGTTATACCATTTGCACTTCAACCAGTGGGAGAGTGTATTTCTTTGTTGCCTCGCCCACAGAACGTTATCAAACTTCAGGACACATGCTTGATTTTCTTATTATGATGGAGTTTAAGCTCTTTATCTGAGTTTAGGGACATTTGGCCTTTCTTTTTCTGTGAACTGTGTCCACACCCTTTGGTCCTTTTTAACATCTAAAGTTTCTTTAGATAGCAGGGAGATTAGAATGAGTTGGTTTTCTCAACCCATTCCAGAACTATAGCTTTAAAGAGTCTCTAAAGTTATTCCTGCCAACCTCTATTTCTTGGAAACAGGAATCCCCTATTCCCAGTTATGAAAATTTAATTTAGTTTTCTGACTTATATGTTTATTACAGAAATACTGGAAGGAGTTTAAAACCACACGTTTGCACTTCTTTCTTTTTTTTAAGTCTGAGACAGAGAGAAAGCACTAGCAGGGGACAGGCAGAGAGAGAGAGAGACCCAAACAGGTTCCATACTGCCTGTGCAGAGCCCGACGTGAGGCTCAAGGGACTTAAACTCACAAGCTGTGAGATCATGACCTGAACCAAAATTGATGCTTAACTGACTGAGCCACCCAGGCGCCCCTATTTTGTTTTGTTTTTTAATTTATTTGAGAGAGAAAGCAAGTGTGGAGGAGGGGAAGAGAGAGGGAGCAAGAATTCCAAGCAGGCTCGGCACCGTCAGCACAGAGCCCGACATGGGGCTCGATCCCACCACCACGGAACCACAACCTGAGCTGAAACCAAGGGTCGGACGCCCAACCACCTGAGCCACCCAGGCGCTCCTTCGTGAAAAATGTTTTTAACTACGGTTAGTAGCACAGCATCAGAAACAACAAAAACTCGACCACGTTGATAATTTTAAGTTAAAATTTATATTTTGAAATAAAAAATCATAACAAAAGTTTACAAAACAGTCCTATGGATATCACTGCATGCTTCACTTACTGAAAAAAAGTTCTGTAGGTAAAACAAGGGCTGTCATTTATAAATGTGAGTTCCTTTCTTTGAGCAAAGGTAGCTCACGTTCAGTGTGAGAGACGGAAGCCGGTGAGACACGGTGACGCGGCAGCAGTGGCTCAGGGCCCGCCTGAGCGCCACTTCCCTGCGCCAGGGGAGGGGGAGATGGGGGGAGTTCTCTGGGTCTGTGTGCCGTGGGCCTTTCATGTCAGAGGAACAGAACGTGCTTATAACAGGACCATTTTCTGTGTAGACATCAACAGAAAATAACATGCTTAAAAACCATACTATAAAGCGTGCTATGCTTTTGGCTGTGACTCTCACCTTTGGAAAATTTCCAATTCCGAAGTTGCTGATTTGGCCTGCCTTCTTGGAGATTCCTGCCCTGGGGGGCATCCTCCAGGCTCACCAGTCCATACCAAGCGACTAGGCGGTGGTGATTTTTCTGGAGTCGGTCTGTGGCCCTGTTGTCATTGCACAGGCTGTGCCTGCCGTGTCTCTGCTCAGGTCACACCATCTCCTAGTTACAGAGCGCCCAGCTGATGGATCTATTGCTTCTTCGTTCCATGGCACTGTTTATTATGCACCTTGTATTTTGTTATGTTCCTGTAGAATTTCGTCAATTCACGCTATCAGCGTGCTCGACAGTTTGAGGTTTTTCCATAAATGCTCTTCACGTGTTCTGCCGTGGGGGGCTCGGCGGGTGGGCCTGGGCACAGGCATTGGGACCCGGGTATGCTGGCAGCCGAGCTCCTTAGCACCTCACACTTCTAACTCGGTTTCCCTCCACAGATGCTATGTTTAGCTTCACACGAGTCGACGGAATTTGCTCACACTGCCTCTCTAGCAAAACATTATTTTCTTTTTCAACAGCAAACATGACTTTTTGCCGCAAAAGACATGCTCAGGACCAACATCACAAAACCATGCACTCAAACGATCTAAAAATACAGTTGACTTGTCTCCAAATACGGATTCTAAAATCAAGGTAGGTCTTGAAGACTTTGACCAAGCCCACAGGTCCCCCCACACTCTAGGGTTTCTCATTCCACATCAGCAAGTCTGTGGGGTGACAGAAGCCAGAGTTCATACTCTCACATGACAGCACACCAGTATCACTGAACTTCCTAACTACTGTGTTTAACGTTTTCATATTTACTTAAAAATTCATCACATAGCATCACTACAACTTGCTAATTACGAGAGCAGTTTATTTACAAACATTTCCCCTCATAATGATTGTGCCAGTATCCACTTTTATTCATCCCTAATTAAATGTGATTTCAACTACCTGATTCTGAGTTTGAGGTAGCCTCATAATTCTGTTGCTATGAAAGTGGCATGTTCCACAATACCACCTGAAGTATTAGATTACATCTAACTGAGAGAGGAAAACCAAGTTTTCGTCACTTGGCATACAAACTAAAAAAAAATGAAAAAAAATCATCCATCTTTAGTGATAAAAATACAGTTCTTTTGTGAGCATAGATACAATACACGGAATCTGTTTCTTTCCATGAAAAACAGAGTCAAGAGAAAAGGACTCAAATTCTAGAGCTACCTTTCGGTTAACCCGAGTAAGAATGTGCATGAACTCAAGCTTGTGAGCATATAGTCTGAGCATCGAACAAAGTGACTGGATGAACCAGGATCCATCCTTGGAATTTCGCCAGGAGTAGTAACCTACAAGGCAAAGTATAACCAAAATGCCGTGAGTGTCTCATGCTCTAAATTTTTACATAATCGTCAAGGAGAAAACAAGCATAAACTTCCTCAAGCAGGGCCAGCCCTAAGAAAGAAAAGAAACAACACTTCTGGTGTCCGGGGAAATGACTCCAGAGGGGAAAAATGTGTGCTGCGTATACACCCCTGCGTGTGGCGAGGAAGGAAAGAGTTGTGGACTCTGTTCCCCGCTGAATTATGGGAAGCTCTCTTCTCTGGGTCCTGCAGAGAGGGTTGAGGGAGACATTAAGAAACACCCCTGGGGGTAGCATGGTGTTGCAATCAGATTATTGACTCAGCCAAGAGGAAGCTGCTCGGGTCTGCGCACACATTCGGGTGTCCCAAGTGTCTACAAGGCATCTGAATGAGTATGATAAAGACATTGCAGAGTATTCAACTCCAAAAAGGGTAAAAACTGTTTTTATCGTACTTTTTTCAGACTAATTCTTGGATCTACTGCTGCTAATTTAGAAGCACTTGGGAAGATGTTCTGAGGTTAAAAAGAAGTCAGATGGAGCATATTTAAAAATGTAACATCTTTTAAAAATACCTTTGTCCCCATTTCCAAATTTTGTGACGCCCCAAGTTAGGTGTATAATAAGTAAATTGCACGCTCAATCCACATTTATTTATATGCTGACGGGTTTAACACAGAGCACATTTCTTTTCCCCCATTCCACTTTACCTTCTCATATGCTATTCAGGTTTTTCTTTTTTATTTCCTATCTTCCAAAGAATTCTTGGAAAACATACCTCTCTCCGTACCTCTCTTGGATTCCAACTCTCCGATTCCAAGAAGCGGAGGAAGCTCTCACAATCACAATGCCTGTGACAACACGGCCCCTACTGCGCTGTTATATGACAAGGCGCTATTCTACATTACACTATGGTCTCCTGGCTGGTGTTAAGTTCGTGATGGCACTGTGAAGTATGCTTCCTTCTGGAAGCAGATTTTCCAGCCAGACTTGCCAAAGACAACCTTCAGACACTTGTCTGTAGTTAAGGTATCTGAAATACAGACCAGCTAGCTGTTTATGAATATCAAAATCCTGACAGCCTTTCGAATAGTTTCTTTGCGTTTAAGATCTCCAGGTAACACTCACTATTTTGTACCCTTCTTACCAGGGGCTGTAGAATACGCATATAAGAAGTCGGCTTCCACTGGGATTTTCTGACAGGCAATGTCATCCTCGGTACCACTGTCAGTCTCAATGCCACAGTCCAGTTCTGTGCCTCGACAGGCCTAGAGGTTAGAAAACAGACATTTACTAAAAAACTGTTAGGTCTGAGGCACCTGGGTGGCTCAGTCAGTTAAGTCTCTAACTCTTGGTTTTGGCTCTGGTCATGATCTCACTGTTCGTGAGTTTGAGCCCCTTGTTGGGCTCTGTGCTAAACAGCGTGGAGCCTGCTTGGGATATTCTCTCTTTTCTTCCCTCCCCCCCCCCCCCCCCCCGTCTCCCTCTCCTTCCCTCCCCCTCTCCCCCCTCCCCCCACTCATGCCTGCTCTCATTCTCTCCCTCTCAAAATAAATATTTAAAAAATAAAAGACCATGTCTGTACGCATAGAACTGTGATTTCCTTTTAAAAATTTCCTTTGTAATATTTATTTTATTTTTCAGAGAGAGAAAGGGAGAGAGAGCGAGCAAGCAGGGGAGAGGCAGAGAAAGGGAGACACAGGATCTGAAACAGGCTCCAGGCTTTGGGCTGTCAGCATAGAGCCTGACGTGGGGCTCAAACTCATGAACTGTGAGATCATGACCTGAGCCAAAGTTGGCACTCAATTGACTGAGCCACCCAGGCAGGCGCCCCTACACACGTAACTGTGATTCCTAAGAAATGTAAAGGCTGTGTAAAAATGGATGTTAACTATGAAGAATCTTTTTGATAGAAGTCTAAGATAAACATTTGTTCTAAATCTTGTAAGTGGTAGTTTAAATGAATAAAAAAGTTACAATAGTTCAGTAGCTTCAGGGGGAAAAAAATAAATCCATCGGCTAATCCACAAATGAGTAAATCCCTGATTAATCCTCCACACCAGGTTATTTAGTGAAAGATTACCTGAATAATGAAAAGTTTGGGTTTGCCGGTTAGACTTCTACAATAGTCCCCTCTGAAGAAACTTGTTAATTTTTTCAGGTCAAGAGGTCCATTTGTTCCATAAATGATTCCTTCATCACCGTGGCTTAGAAGCACGCAAACAAAACTGCTCCTCTTGCTATGATCTTCTCTGGACACTGGAAAAATGTTTACAAGTAAGGAAAAGAAAACAAACAAAACCCAACACAACTTCGTTTGCCAATTTCCTAGGAGCCCACACAGGAGAAAGATGAAGGCACTTGAAGACAGAACTGAAATCAAAGAAACCTCACCCAGGGGCCAGATGTCACACCTCCAACCATTTTAGGGAGGTGGCATGACTAACTCTTGTTATTTCTATACAATGTGGATTACAAACAGGATGCCACAATTCTCACACTTTATTATTATAATTACAGCCACATTGTCCCATAAAAGTGGACCATGAAGGTGGTCACTCTTCATTATTTCTTACCACTGTCCAGCAATGCCACGATTTGTTCACGTGTAAGATCGTTTTTATTCCTGACTTCGTATTTCAAGTTTGTGAAGGTTTCCCGGAGGTTCGCCGCATCCACATCTGTACCAGAGCGAGATGGCATTCCTGGAAAACAAAGGATTATTTAAATTGCATTGAAAAGAAAAAAAGAGTAATTGCTCTGAATGAACTATTCAGCGAGTCACACAATCTGTAATAAATTCTTTTCAGCTGCTCAGAAAATTCAATTACTCTGATCATGGTAACACTAAGTCTCTTTAGTTTCTTGGCATATAAGACACTTCAGAATATAAGCTCTATTAGTGTTACGGTCAGAAGGAGACCTTTCACAGCTGCTTAGATAGTGAAAACACAACTGAAATGCTTAATGGGAGAACTTTGGTTAAATAAATTATGATTCATTTATGTAGTGGAATATTGTGTTGCCATTTCTATAGACAAAATTTTACCATGGGAGATGGTCATTGTATAAAAAAACCCTATAAAACAGTAGGATCCTACTTTTGTTTAAGAAAAATATGATATACATAACAATATACACATCTCACACACTCAGAGGAATTGGATTTTTTTAAGTTCCCAGCAATTTTAAGATACATTACTACTTTAATAATATTTTTTCAGAAAAAAATACCCCCAGAAACCACTACCACATTAATATTGTTCACCAGACATCCTGCTAGGAATAATTTCCTCCAACCCTTTCCAAACACCACGAGACTGTGATTATGATCGGCTTCTTCTGTACAGATGTGGGACAGGAGTACAGAGAGGTTCAGGTACTTGTTGAAAGTAACAAAGTTGGCATTAGGCCTGTACCCGGGGGTCCTGGGCTTTTATCACTTGTTTACAGTACCTTCCACATAAATGTGCAGACTGGTTGCACAACGCACCCAGATTTCAAAATGCTGTTATGGAAGACACTGAGAATTGAGTAAATTACTAACATGTGTTAATAGAAAAAAAGACTCAATGTCTATACCTCCAAAACATTGTTGATAGAGTATCTCTGTGTAGTGTGACTGTGAGTGATTCTAATGGTTTTTCTTTTGTTAATCTGTAGTTTCTGAAATTTCTACTATGGCCATAAGTAATTTTTATAAAATTAAAATAAGCTTATCAAAGTTTTGACTTTGGAGTGGCTGAGGACACCATGCAGCTATATGACAAGGTGAGTGAATTTTGGTCCTAGGTTGTGAGCCTTTAAAAAAAAAAAAAAAAATTCTTAATGTTTGTTTATTTTTGAGAGAGAGAGAGACAGAGAAAGAGTGTGAGGAAGGGATGGGTTGGAACACAGAGAGGGAGACACAGAATCTGAAGCAGACTCCAGGCTCTGAGCTGTCAACAGAGTCCGACACAGGGCTCGAACCCACAAACCATGAGATCATGACCTGAACGGAAACCAAGCACTCAACCGACTAAGCCACCCAGGCATCCCTATGAGCTACTTTTTTTTTTTTTTAATTTTTTTAATGTTTTATTTATTTCTAGGAGAGAGAGAGACAGTGTGAGCAGGGGAGGGTCAGAGAGAGAGGGAGTCACAGACTGAAACAGGCTCCAGGCTCCGAGCTGGCAGTCAGCACAGAGCCCGACGCGGGGCTCGAACCCACGAACCGCGAGATCATGACCTAAGCGAAAGTCGGACGCTTAACCGACTAAGCCACCCAGGCGCCCCGGCATCCCTATGAGCTATTTAATAGTAGAACAGAAAGTATGACACTTTCTGAGATCAAGAGATCACTGAGAGGCTCTGACCTTCAAATTTCAAAGCAGAAAAAGAGCTCATTCTAACGCTAAAGCCAGACTGTGGTTTCTTATTTGTTCTTACGGTTGTTAAGGAACAGGTTCAACAATGTAAAATCCTACAGGAAGTGGGCATCATAACTGGCAATGTGAGGCAGAATATCTGATGGTTGAAGGCAGCATCTCAACCTACAGCCGAAAGCAATACAGATACTGCCATTCATACTTAGACACCCATTTCCAATCACTCTGTCCTCATTCTTCATAACTAACCTAACATCGAGTCCCACTTCTCTTTCCAGTGCAACCTGGCTTCTTCTGGCCATTTTCACCATCACTCTGGTAGATCGCCTCCTAAATTAGATCTGATGCTTCTAATTTCTTTAATTAAAAATCAATTCTAATGTGATCAGTATGCCAATTCAAAGAATTATCACAGCATCAATTTAAAAAATAAGTGGAAAAACAGCCCATTCAGATGGTAAATTATACAAATTAAGCAAATGGAATGTTGCTTGCATATTATGAATAAAACTAAGCTCTAAGAGAAACAATCAGGCAAAAATACCAAGTACTACATCAAGGTATTAGCTATTTAGGATTGTAGGGGATTTTATTTTTTATATTCTCTAAAAATAAAGTCTGAAACGTATTAGTAGATTCAAGTCGTACCCGGTCTAGAGACAGAGAAGGAGATTTGGTGATCAGGCCATGGTGAATCTAAGAGAACAGTTTCAGTGGAGAGGTAGTGGAGAAAACCGATTCAAGAGGGATGGAAAGAAGTGAAAACAGCAAGCCTAACATACACATTTTCAAAATTTAGAGGAGACAAAAAGCAGATCAACACTTAAAAGGAAGCAGGGTAAAAAAAAAAGTCTCTTTCAGAAGGTGGTCTGTCATTTTTGCAGGGGAAAAGGAAAAGTCAATAGAGCAAATGAGGATGCACACAGATGAAGGAGTCCTGGAGGTGAGTTCAGAGCTCAGGCTGGGGGTGTGGTCAGCTACACCCAGGCCAAGTCCCACCTCTGCTACTAAATTATCGGTGTGACTCTAAGAATTGGTGTGACTCTATGAGAATTTTAACCTTTCAGCACCTAATAGTGGTTACTTTTCAGGGTTGTTATGCAAATTAAACAAGAATACCTACAAGGTGCCCTGCAGAGTCCCTAGAAGGAAAGATTACTCTTATTATTTGTTGAATCCTTCTATTAGCATAAAAGAGGGAGCAGGGGGATAAAGAAGTGAGGGCAGGAGAGCCGACACAGACAGGAGGCCTGCTGTGGGAAGGGGGAGAGACTATGATGATGGATAGAAGACAGAGTTCATAATGTATTGCAGGACATGTAGGGTCCTGTGCTCCATCCTCACTTGGTGGCTATTCTTTGTTATCGTTTACTAATAATATCAGTTCTATTTTTAAAATTATACCAAATGTAAATGGCACAATATTTGAATAGGACTAAAAATTAGGTCAGGATACATACCAGTACTTTCATGAAAGTTCTTATTATTAATTATTATACATAAACCCATTTCAGGATAATCCATTTTGTAACTGTTGTCCAAGTATATTCCGGAGTCCATTGATTTGCTTCCATGGAAGATCTTTCTGCTTGGAAATCAAACAACAGTTTGCAAAGGTAGAAAGACCAATACTGCTGTTCACATTAATACAACACACATACAAACAGTTCACATTTGTTGGGTGAAGGTCAGGCTGTGTGCTACAGGCCTTTCCTGATTTAAATTTCACGAGAAACCATGATGAGAAACCTCCTTACTGATGAGGAAGTGACTGCTGTTAAGAGTAAATAACGTGCAGGTGGTTATGCAGATACGTGTCAGGGCGAAGGCTGAGAGCACCTGTTGGACTTCAGAGTTCAATGTGGAGTTTTAATCTCCACATTTTATGTTTCCCTCTAAATTTGATAGAATTTCATCACATACATTTTATGCTTTAAATATGTTAAATATCTTGTAGCACTGTGAGATATTTTACCTTTTAAAGTAAGAGCAGTATCTTAAAACTTACCCTGAAATGACAGGAAAGCAACAAAATGCATATATGACTCGAAGCACAATATTTATCACAATTCCTAAATTGTTCCTTAAATGCCATGCGCTAAAAAATTAATAGTTAATACAGAGAATTAACTGTTGTAAATAACTGGAAAAATACTTGTCTGAAGGTTACTTATCCAAAAACCTCCGTTAACCTAGACCAGAGTCAATAAACTTTTTTTTTCTTTTCCCAAAAGGGCCAAATATGAAGTATTTGAGGCCTGTAGCTCGTACAGCATTTGTTGCAGCTACTCTGTTCTGCTGGTGAATGTAGCCCAGGACAATATGTAAACTAAAGTGTATGGCTACGTTCCAATACTTGACCACACAAAATAGACTGCAAGCCCAAATCCTGATCTAGCCCAAGAATCAGGAAATACCAGGTCTAGGAACAGCCAAACCTCAATACCTAAAGTGCACATACCCATACCTTTAACCTGAGAAGATTTCACATTACATGCAATGCTAAAATGTTGGGAAAGGATGAAAACAGTACATGAAAGCAGTCAAGGTCAGAAAAGAACTATTATATTAGCTGGAGGCAAAGATCCCCACATTTTACAGGGGAGAAAATTAACAGTCTGAAAGCTGACTGACTTGTTAGAGATCATACAGATATTGGGCCCTAGGACTGTAATTCCCCACCGCCTCCTGCTGCTCCGAGGGCCCTCTCCCAGCAGGACAGCCAGCCTGGGAGGGGCATGCCTGATAAAGAGCAGACTCAGAAAGCCAAGGGACGTGGGATAAATTATAGGATAAAAATGACCTAAATCTGTTTTGGGCTCATATGCAATTTGCTATTAAATTACATTCTAGGGGCGCTTGGGTGGCTCGGTCAGCTAAGCGTCCGACTTTGGCTCAGGTCATGATCTCACGGTTCAGGAGTTTGAGCCCCACATCACAGCTCAGAGCCTGGAGCCTGCTTCAGATTCTGTGTCTCCCTCTCTCTCTCTCTCTCTGCCCCTCCCCCGCTAATGCTCTGTCTCTCAAAAATGAATAAAATGTTAAAAAAAATATTCTATATGATAAGGAAAAGGTAGGAAAATGCATATATCATTTAAAAAGGCTTTTAAAAAAAAATCCCAAAACCCTCTAAAAGGAGAGTGCATTTCACTAGTTTAGTTTCTAGGAAATCTCCTTAGCGAAACAGATACTGCTACATCTTTATTGGTAACCTGTTACTAGTTCTGTAATACTCTTGTTTAGTACTAAAACTGTTATTTCCCTAGGTGGTCCAAAATAGTAATATCAGGTCTCAGAAATTTTAGAATTCAAAGTTCCACAAGACATTGCAAATGGATAATGACTTGAATTAAATTGAGTGAGTTTTATCTTTTTCCCTTCTCTAACATCTGTTTATGGGAAACATGAATATGCAAAATATTGCAAAGAGGAAGACAGGAAAACAAAGGGTACAAGATCATCTAAAACCAGGCAGTTCTTCTCCAGACTCAGAACTGGCATTTCATTTTTAGTCTTGGGAACTCATAGATAAACACACGCCTCAAATCTCCCCCAAACACAGAAGCTCTCATTCCTGCAGACGGATTTAGGAAGGCCCAGAAGCATCCAGACTTGCGAGTTCTGCCTTTCCTGTGGGGTCCCATTTCCAGGTTGGGGTGTCCGACTGTGGGTCAGGCACTGTACCTTGTCTTTCCCCCCATCCTCCCCATACTTTCATGGAAGTTTGATTTGAAAGATAAGACCCAGGGAAGCTGCTGAGGCGGGGGCTCTGGTTGGGAAGTCCTTTCTGCTTCCTCGCTCCAAAGTTCCCGGTGTCACATGCACGTGTCTTTCTCTGATTATGAAGGATAGTGTTAGAAATACTCACGGTTCTGAATTTTTAATGGATTTTGCATCCACTGAGTTTTCACTGCCCTCCATGGGTACTTCTAACTAGAATAGAAAGATAGGAAAGTAATCAAAATCCATCATCATAAGACCACTGCATCATATTAATTATTCCAATGATTATTTCTCCAAATTAATGCTTTATATGGACATTTTCACATTAGCATCCCCCACCCCCCACCAGCTTCACCTCTACCATTAAAATGTTTCCGGGAGTCAAACCTGAAAACAATAATCCCTTCTAAATGTATGTGTAATGGAGCCTACTTCTTTCTCTCTTTCTTTTTTAAGTGAGCTATGAAGTCCATAGTGTATACAGGTAAGAAGCATGTGGCTTGATAAATTTTTATGTTTGTACACTCCCACCCGACCAAGATACCAAGTGCAACTTATTGCAACAGATCAGATCATTCATTGATAAGAACTCAGCCTTCCAACTCCACACCGTCCAAACAAAACCCAGAAACTCCCCATCACAATGGTATACCTCACATCATACTATTCTACAATGCTTTAGATTTTTGAGAGATACAGCACCAGGAAGTTCCACACCTCCATATAATCTTTATTCTGAAACTGGCCTTGAGAATTCCGACTTCTCATTTAGGGTGGTGGGAGGGCCCGGGACACCAGGAAGTAAGAACTCCCAGGAAGTAAGATCTGAAGTTTCTGCTTCAGGCTTCCATCAGACAATTCTAGTGTACCTTACGCAGTGAGCAAGTCCTACAATCAAAGCAGCTAGCACTTTTTATACAGCAAGTACTGTGCTGGGCATGGGATCTTTCCTCTTCCCAACACTCCTATGAGGCAGGAAGCTCCACTTTTAGTGATTAAATGACTTGGTCCAGTCACAGAGCTGCGTGACTGAGGCCCGTTCCTTCCCACTCTGCTCTGAGACCTCTGAAGAATCCATGTCCTTACTACTTGTCTTCTGGAGTTCTCCCATGTCTTCTCTAGCCTTCCAGAAGTAATTCCCATGGCAATCTGCCTCCTTAAATAAAGAGAGAAAAAAAAAACCAAGGCCACAATTTCTCGACTTTCTCCAGCCTCTAGAAGCCCTGACTCTCTCAAAAATTCTAACCAAAATACAACTTTAACCTAACTCATATGCTAAAATCAGAAATCTTAAAAGAATATTCCAGCCCATCAACAGGACTCACTCAACCACCGAAGCCTTTATAGAAAGTCCTAGCCTCCCTTCTCACTTCTAAAGTTAAAACATTGTGATAAAACATACATAAATTTACCATCTTAACTATTTGAAGTGTACAATTCACTGGCATTGTGTATAGTTATATTATTGTGTAACCATCACACCATCCATCTCTAGAACTAACTTTTTCATCTTCCCGAACTGAAATCCCTACCAAAGTCTGCCCCTTTCAAGTCCTAAAAGCTAGGGAGGCCTCTTCTGTTCTCCAAAGTTCAGTTCCTTACCCCTAACTAGTACATGCCCCTGTGGTAGGGAAAGATGGAGACAATATGGAGGGAAGGACATGTCACCATTTCAATTCAGCCACAGAGGAGGGTAGCATCTCACCTTCTCTCAAAGCCACTCTTTATTTTGCATTTCTAACAAAGACTCTTTGCTTTTCTACCATCTTGTTTCCTACAGGGTTTCTAGAAAACCAAGGGAGGATGGTGATGAACCATCTTTTAGTGAGTAAGCAGATATTTAGTGAGCACATGCTTTGTGCTAGGTACCACTGTAGGTAGTAGGACAGAGTGGAAGACAAGGCAAAATTCTTACCTTCAAGAAACTTTCATTGTAGAAAGGAAGATTAGATAATAAGATTTCTGACACTAATTGGGACTCTGAAGAAAATAAAATAGGGTAAAGTACTAGAGAGACTGGAGTGTGAGCTACTTACGCTAAGATGTTTGGAGAAACCATCTCCAAGGTGACATCTGCATCGAGATCCAAATGACAGAGAGGCTAACCTTGCCAGGGAAAGGCCAGCAAGTACAAGTCCCTAAAAGAGTTTGATGAATTCATGATATGGAAAGAAGACTAATTTGACTTAGTGCATGGTCAAGGAAGGGAAGGCATAAAGAGCAATGAGGTAGGAAAGGTGAGATCATATAGGGCCCTCAGGAGCTGAGAGCACTCTGGATTTTATTCTGGTTGCAAGGAGAAACCACTGGTGTGTTTTAAGCAGAGGAAGGAAGGCCTGCTTTCAAAAGATCACTCTTATAAGCTGAGCAGAGAATTAACTGCGGAAGACTGGAGCACAAGCACATAGGCCAATGAAAAGCCTTAAAGAACAGTTCTAGAAAGGGATGATGATGACTTAGACTAGAGTTACAGTTGATGTAGGTAGTTAAGAGTCTGTAACTCAAGGAGAGATCAGTGCTGGAGAATAAGGGGCACTATGGTATTTAGAGGGCCAGCAGGAGACTTAGAGAGGACATTGAAATGGGGAGTATCAGATGAATGTCAGGAAGGTCAGAAAAAATTGTCTAACACTTGGAAATTTCAGTGTGGCACTGGCCATTGTCTAGAGGAATCTTGACTTTATAGGTTGTCTTCTTTTGACTGACCTTGTACTGAGTAGTTTATTTTACAACTCTGTAGGAAGGTAAGTCATGGAAAATGGAGAATCATTTGATTCTTGTCTACAGCAACAAAATTGGATTTGTCTTTTAATGAAGCAATTGGTTTTGAACTTGTAGAAAAGAGGACCCTTCCAAATTACGTTTTACTGCCCTAGAGGATATTAACCAGTTTTGCTTCTATTAGCAAATTTGTTTCATTATACCCAACCATTTATGTTTGTTCTTCCCATTCTCCTTTGATCTGGTCTTAATATCTTACTGGTTCTATTATTTATTAAAATATCTAGGGCGCCTGGGTGGCTCAGTTAGTTAAGCATCTGACTCTTGATTTTGGCTCAGGTCATAATCTCACAGTCATGGAATCAATCCCTGCATCTGGGGCTCCTTGGGATTCTCTCCTCCTTTCTCTTTCTGCCTTTCCTCGACTTGCACACACACACTCTCTCTCTCAAAATAAACATTTAAAAACATACTTCAAAATATCTGACACATTTATTTTACATTTACCCAAGAGCCACATTTTATGCTTTTCAAAAATCACAGTTGAAAAGGATCAATGTTGCTGCAGCAGGTTGGGGAGAAAATGGGAGAACAAAAATGAGTAAATGTAATGAAAGCGAGGAAACAGTTTTGCAGTGAAAGGGAAAGGAGAAATGGATAGTAGCTGGAGGGAGGCAGAGGGGTAGAGATTTCTTAAGTTGTTTGATTTTAAAGATAGGTTATAGAAGGCAAGCTTTCATATTGATGAGAATGATCTGTGTAAAGTGAAAAATTAATAAGGCAAGAGAAGAGAAAGTTCCTGAAGGGATAAAACGGTTTGTGGATATAGCTCACTCGTGGAGAGGCGTTAGTCTCTAAGAACAGGAGAGGGTGCCGGGATGGGAAGGAAGACTACCAGGCACACCGTGTAAGGAGACAGTGAGTGTGACGTAGGGCGGATGAGGCACTCGCCCTGGGATTGCTCCTATTTCTGCTCTGTTTAGAAGATCAGCCATGAGACAAGAATCCCAAAATGTTCTGGCTGTACTTTCGTGTGGACTTACCCATGTATTTTAACCAAGTCATACCTAAACCAGGTCACTCACAATACGAGCAGAGGTGTGTGAGATACTCATACACTACTGGAAGGGACGTTAGTCAGGGTAATTACTTGATGTCCTCCTATCCCTCAATAAAAGCTTGGAAGTTTGATCTAATAAAATCATACTTCTAAGAATACAGCCTAAAAAATAACCCCAGCAGTTGGTGGGGGGATGGAGGAGGGAAAACTAAGGATATGCATTATTTATCAAAATACTGAGAAATATTGAAACTGAGAATAGTTAAATCACTGATTAACCGAGCCATAAAACTTGGAGAAAATTTTTTTTTTAATTTTGGAGAGAAAACACACATGGGAGAGGGGCAGAGGAAGAGAAAGACTCTCAAGCAGACTCCACACTTAGCCCTGCTATAAAACTTCTTAAAAGAATGTATCAAGGGGCACCTGGGTGGCTCAAACACCCGACTCTCAATTTCTCAATTTCGGCTCAGATCATGACTCCTGGTAGCGGGATCAGACCCTGCGGCCAGGCTTTGCACCGAGGGTGGAGTCTGCCTGGGATTCTCCCCCCATACTCTCTACCTGTCCCTCCCCAGCCCTCTCTTTCTAAAAATAAACAAACATTAGAAAAAAAGTACTTATCAATTACATAGAAAATGCTTATCATATAAGGCTAAGTAAATATAGGTTATAGGGTTGCCTGGGAGGCTCAGTGAGTTGAGGGGCCAACCGCTGGCTCAGGTTGTGATCTCACAGCGGAGTTCGAGACCCGCCCTGGGCTTGCTGCAGTCAGCACAGAGCCTGCTGTGGATCCTCTGTTCTTTCTCTCTTTCTCTACCCTTCTTTCGCTCATGCTTTCTCTCTCAAAACTAAACATTAAAAAAATAATTATAAGGCTGTATAAAATAATCTCCATCAAAGCAAACACAAGAAAAAGACCCAAAGTAATTATCTAACATATTTACATATTTACATATTAACTGTGGCTATCTCTGGGGGATAGGATTATTGGAAACTTATTTATTCCTTAATATTTTCCTGTGTTTTTATATGATATCTGTATAGTTTAAAAAATTTTTTTAATGTTTTTATTTTTTGAGAGACAGAGCATAATTGGGGGAGGGGCAGAGAGAGAGAGAGAGAGAGAGGGAGACACAGAATCCAAAGTAGGCTCCAGCCTCTGAGCTGTCAGCACAGAGCCCAACAAGGGGCTTCAACTCACGTGACCTGAGCAGAAGTCAGATGCTTAACCAACTGAGCCACGCAGGCGCCCCTGTATTGTTTTTAAAGTTAGAAAATAGTAACCAAGATGATTTATCCTATGAAAGTAGCAATCCTTCCTTAACTGCTCTGTGCCATGTTCTAGTCTCCCTCTTTTTCTTTCTCTTTCACACATTGAAAAAAATGTATGAGGTACAGGAAACCTCAAATATCCCTGAACCATAAA